CGCAGGCAAAAGGCCGTCCTTTTCCCTCCTAAACCCCCCCCCCCACAAGCCTGCGCCATATTACAGGAGAGAGAGAGAGAGAGAGAGAGAGAGAGAGAGACTAAATCGGGGGGAGAGGGGAATAGAGATACTTTTTGTTTATATATTTTTGTTTTATAAAACATTACTATCACTCACACTTAGTATATAACTAAGTGAATGTAAATGTGAGATAGACCCATACATTGCATTGCTGCTCAGAGCCAGTTGGGAAAGTGAAGGGGGAACAATATTTTCTGTGCAACCAGCAATTTGTCCCTTCCAATGTTTGGTTCAAAATTATACTACTGTAAATAACTTACATTTACAGTTGCATGTTATTTATTATTTGCTTTTTATTTCCTTTGTATAGATGCTGGAGGAAAGGTTATGTTTGGATGGACATTGTGCAGTAAAAAATAAAATCTGTCATAACGACAAATATATTTTCCTTATATATTAATTTATGACATGATAATACACCTCACCTCTACCCAGTTATAACGCTGTCCTCGGGACCCAAAAATCCTACTATGGTATAGGTGAAACCACGTTATATCAAACTTGCTTTGATCCGCCAGAGTGCGCAGCCCCGCGCCCCCTGGAGCACTGCTTTACCGCGTTATATCCGAATTTGTGTTATATCAGGTCACATTATATCAGGTTGCTTTATATCGGGGTAGAGGTGTATATAAATATCAAGTGTATTTAATTTAACATTTTATGTTTTTCATGTATTGTTTTTCAGAAATATACAGGTGGATTTTTGTTTTTTAATTTTCTTTCGTTCAGATACTACAATCATTGCTACACACTATAAGGCCCAAATCCTGCAAACTCTTACACTTGTGCTTAAATCTAACCATATATACAAAAGCGCTGGATCCCATATACTCTAGAAAAACACCTAAAACAGAAAGATTTTGTTTGGTTTGTTTGCTCTCTTATGTATGGCTTTATTTAATTGTAAGAACTTTCTTTAAGGTCAAGACAACAGATCCTCATCAGCTGACTCAAGTCTTTTAGATGCTGTTCTTAAATGTTCATATCTTTAAGCGTTTCAATATCATTTTAGGTATTATTTAGGGTGATGAAGAGGATATATAGTTTTGTATTTCTGCAGCATTAACCTTAGTACACAAAGTTTATTAGTGATTTTCCTAGGTTATTTTATGTTTTTGTACATAGCTCATGAGAGTTTTAATTTGTGCAATTCAGATTAGAGTTTTAAACCACTGTCTGAGAAAAGTGAAAAACTACTAAGACAAACATTGTACATACAAAAAATATTTTTCAGGAAAACTCTGACTCCAGTTTCACTCTCACAGGAGACTTCATCTATTCTTTAAGAAGACTGAGAAGCCACTATTATTACTACAATAAATAACAGTCACAGTAATATATCTTCTCATACGACCTCTCCATTACTAGAGGTTTGCAACCATGGCAGCCTATTCTGTAAATCCTCCTGCTCATCTATTTGTGAGCCAAAAGTCCTTTTGATCCACCCTGGATACCATACTGTCCATCCAAGATTTTTTTTTCCTTCCTCTTTTTGTTCAGACATCAACTTTCCCCTTCAGGGCCTACAAACATGCATCACCCGCTGACCTACTTAAAAAATGTGCCCTGCAAATCAAACCATTCTTTTCTTAAGATCTCTGATTAGTATTTGCTGAGTTCCTATCTCCCATACTTTTTTCATTGGTTCCATGGTTTGTCAATATTTTCAGAATTCTTTTATAACCACATAATTTGAAGGACTGTAGTTTATCGATTGTTTGAATGTCCACCTTTCATAGTCGTAATTTAACACAGACCATATGTAAGTTTTTAACAGTCAGAATTTAGTTGTGAGATTTGTGTCCCTTCTCATCAAATGTTTATTCTTCCAGAATATCTCTTTCGCTCTTGCTATTCTGGTGCTGACTTCAGGATCCAATCTCCCATCTTCTGTAATGATGCTTCCTCAGTAGCAATAATTTCTCACTTGCTGTATGGCTGTGTCATTTATTGGAATCTTGCATATCTTCCCAGGATCCTTGCATACCACCATAGTTTTTGTCTTGTCCACATTCAACTCTAGACCATATTCTTCGCCATATTCATCTATAATCTCTACTAATTTCAACTGACTACCTTCTGAATCAGCCAACAGCACTGTGTCATTTGCACAGCAAATATTAACCTATTTTTCATTCATCTTAAACCTTCCTCTGTTTCTTCTATTAATTTAATCACTCATTATAAACGTTGAATAAAGTCACTGATATTATACAACGCTGTCTCTCACTCCTTTCGATCTCTACTCAATTTTCATTTGCATCTCCCATTATAATTGCCTTCTGATTCCAGTATAATTGTTTTATTACTCGGAGTTTGTATCCATCAATCCCGACAGCTCTAATATGTTGAGCACTTTGTAGTGGCAGATTCTGTCAAATAGCTTTTGAGGTCAATAAAACACAAATATCATAGAATCATAGGACTGAAAGGGACTGTGATAGGTCATCTAGTTCAATCCCCTGAACTCATGGCAGGACTAAGTATTCTATACAGGTGTTTGTCTAACCTGCTCTTTAAAATCTCCAAAGATGGAGATTCCACAACCTCCCTAGACAATTTATTCCATAGCCATCCTGATAGTCAGCAAGTTTTTCCTAATGTCCAACCTAAACCGTCCTTGCTACAATTTAAGACCATTGCTTCTTGTCCTATCCCCAGAGGTTAAGAACAACAATTATTCTCCCTTCTCCTTGTAAAGACCTCATAGGTACTTGAAAACTTATGTACCCCCCAGTCTTCTCTTCTCCAGACTAAACAAATACAATTTTTTTCAATCTTTTCTAGACCATTTTTGTTAGTCTTCTCTGAACTTTCTCCAATTTGTCCACATTTTTCCTGAAATGTGCTGCCCAGAACTGAACATAATACGCCATTTGCAGCCTAATCAGTACGGAGTAGAATGGAAGAATTAGTTCTCATGTCTTGCTTACAACACTCCTGCTAATACATCTCAGAATGATGTTTGATTTTTTGCAACAGTGTTACAGTGCTGACTCATACTTAGCTTGTGATCTACTATGACCGCCATAGCCCTTTCTGCACTACTCCTTCCTGGGCAGTCATTTCCCATTTTGTATGGGTGCAAATGATTGTTCCTTCCTAAGTGGAGTAGTTTGATACATATCACTTCGTTCTCTTTATACAATTATTCGGATTATTTGTATTTCTCATTCAGATACTACTAATCTACATTTATTCTTCATCATTTTATTTAGTCTTCCATATTCCCCTTTTTCTGTTATCCATCTTTGTGCTTTTACTTTCCTTCTTTCATTCATCAGAACAATTATTTCATTTGCTATCCATGGGTTTTTCTTATCTATTAACTTCTTCCCTACCTCAAAGTGTATGCCTGTGGGATCTCCCCTACCTAAATACCTTGCAGTATTTCAACCAACAGAACTGAAACATACAAAATGAACTGGATGAGAAGATAAGTGACTGAATTACTTCCAGCATCACAATATTACTTAAGAATTACCTGGACTGTTTATGGGACCCTGACCAGGGTGGATTTGATTTAAATCACTAGTCAGGAAGACTCAATTTAATCATGGATTTCTACATAAAAGTCAAGTATCAGAGGGGTAGCCGTGTTAGTCTGAATCTGTAAAAAGCAACAGAGGGTCCTGTGGCACCTTTGAGACTAACAGAAGTATTGGGAGCATAAGCTTTCGTGGGTAAGAACCTCACTTCTTCAGATGCAAGAATACATAAAAGTGAATTCTTGTTGGTTGTTATAACCTTAATACATATTCTTCACAACTCAAAGACAGATGTAGGTTTCATTTTTAGAAGG